GGAGGTCACGGTTCGATTCCTGGTCAGGGTACATGCCCGGGTGGCAGGTTCCAAACCCCAGTGTGGAAGCATGCAGGAGGCAGCCAATCCAAGATTCTCTCTCATCACTGATGCTTCTCTCTCTCTCTCTCTCTCTCTCTCTCTCTCTCTCTCTCCCTCCCTCCCTCTCCCTCTCCCTCTCCCTCTCCCTCTCCCTCTCCCTCTCCCTCCCGCTCTGAAATCAATAAAAATGTATTTAAAAAATAATATACAATGATCCAGTCTGGCCAATACACATACACACGGGAAAGGCTCTTTTTTGGTTGTCTGCTTGCTTGGTAGGTTTTTATTGGAACGTTTTAAAGACTCCCTCCCTTAGATTGAACTTGGTTATTTGGGGCTGCACGGATGGCGCTGCAGGATGCCGTCCTCTGCTCTGTGGGACACAAATAGCATTACATAACAACAGCCTGGACCACGGTGACCAAGTCTGCGCCCATCCTTTTATCCTCTGCTCATCGCGTGAATAATTTATCCCAGGAGGCAAGTGTGCACTTGGCATTTATTTACCATTCACTGGCAACACGCACTCAGTCGGAACAGGTGCCGATTCACAGGTAGAGGATTATTATTATTATTATTATTATTATTAATTTTTATTTTGTTAAAAAGAGGCACTTAGTAAACCAAGCAAGATACAGGGCTGCTCAGTGCAAGTGTGGCCATTTAGGATGCTAGCTTCTCCTCCTGACACCTTCCTCTCTTCTGCTTTCTCTTTTCCTCTTAAACAGGCTTTCTGAGTCACCGTGCAGATAAATAAAACATCGCAAGGCTGAATTCAACCAGCGCAGAGCTGGGAAGGAGAGCAGGGGCTGGGGGCCAGGTAAGGAGCTGGGAGGAGAGGGTAAGGAGGAGAGGGTAAGGAGGAGAGTCAGGCCCAGGCTGGCCAGGCCGGGGGCCAGCAAAGCCACTGGCCAAGGAAAGAGCCAGGCGCGCTGGGGCCAGGCGAGGAGGCAGCCAGCAGCTGGCTTTGCTGGCCAGAGAACCCCTACGCTGTATCCACAACCAAAATGCAGACAAGTGGAAGCCCCCTGGATGGAGTGTGAGGGCTCAGCCGGCCCACCAGGCCACACCTGAGATGAAATCACGCCTATTCCATGCGGGGAGATGTCACATGGGCCACGCACTGCTACATGCTTGACAGCTGGTGGTGTCCTACTGAGCTAGTCACGGCTGTTCGTTCTCTTTCTTCTGGGTCTTGGTGGAGTCTGCCTTCCTCGTGCTCCCTGTAGCAGCCTTGACCATGAAACTCTCTCCGTCCAATGACAAGGAGCCAAATGGAGCCACTTTTCTGCCTTCCCACACTGCCCAGAGGCCTGGAGCAGCTGGGGTGGTGTGGAAAGGCTGCATCATCGCTATGGCGACAATGCAAGCATCCCACACCACCCCCAGCCTCTCTGCCCTGTGTATGCAAATTAACCCTCCATCTTTCTCTGGGTTAATTTGCATGCTCACTCCTGATTGGCTGGTGGGCATCGTGAAGGTACAGTCAATTAGCATGCTACTCTTTTATTAGTTCATCCTTCTAAGTACCTAGCAACCAATGAATGACAGGAGTCAGATTTCCAGGTGGGTTGAAAGCATCCCGATCCCTGCACCAACTCATGTCACCTCTCTCTCATCCTGCAGCCTTTAAACTATTGATAGAAAAGGAGAAAGAAACCACTTACTACCATGTTTCCCCGAAAATAAGACATCCTCAGAAAATAAGACCTACTTACAGGTTTCCTTCTGAGTGAAATATAAGGCATCCCCCCGAAAATAAGCCCCCCCCCCCGAGGATAAACATGAGAGATTTGGTCCACTGATTCTGAAAGAAATGGAGTCATAAGAAATTCACCAGGAAATTCAGGAATTGGATTGTTATGATGATGTTCCAGAAGATGATGACATGATTGTCATTGAATAAATGAGTAAATTCTTGATACTGTAGGATTCACAGTCTGTCTGGTTTGTGTTGACAACTACCGTACTACCGTTCCGTACACAGGTAATACATTTCCTTTATTTTCATTAAACAATCAATGTGTGCCGTATTCTTCTTCATGGAAAAATAAGACAACCTCTGAAAATAAGACCTAGCGCATCTTTGGGAGCAAAAATGAATATAAGACACGGTCTTATTTTCGGGGAAACAGGGTAGTATCCTCGTTTCCAGCGAAGTGGGTGGAAATAATATCCTTTAGCCGTCACCTGACGTTGTGCTACTGACTTTCCCATTAAGCAGTGCCTCCGAAGTCCAGACAGAGCCCACCCCCTGCCACCTTTCACTGCAGGGAATTCCTTTACAGCAGGGATGGAATACATACATCTGTCCACGGGTGCCGTAATTTATTTATACCCACACCGACTGACTCTTACAACCACAGCAAAATAAGAGTAGCTTGCTTTCACGTACATGATCTCCATTATAATTATTCATAATGAAAACCATGGTCACCCAGTGGATTAGACAGACCAAAGGGTGTTTTGTTTTGTTATGTTTTGTTTTAACTACCATCACCTTTTTTAAAAAAAATATATATATTTTATTGATTTTTTACAGAGAGGACAGGAGAGAGATAGAGAGCTAGAAACATTGATGAGAGAGAAACATCGACCAGCTGCCTTTTGCACACCCCCTACCGCAACCAATGTACATGCCCTTGACCGGAATCGAACCTGGGACCTTTCAGTCCGCAGACCTACGCTCTATCCACTGAGACACACCGGCTTCGACTACCATCACCTTCGAACTTCATATGACGCACTCATCCTACTCTCCGTGACACCCAAATCCGAAGGTGCCGCGTATGTTCAGAACGTTGACTATCATACAGTCAACAGGACATGTTCACGTTTTGTGTGGCCCACACTATACCAGGTAGCATTTGTTGTGGCTTTTCACATTCACAACATCTAACTAACTTGAAACACCATCATGCACACACAGCTGACATATATTCTAAACACCCAGGAACTGAATTCACACGAGTTTTACATTTTTTTATGCCATTTCCCCCCCCCCCCCCATAGCGCTATCACAAATATTATTTCATTTAAATAAGTTTGTGGCTGTTTCAAAGGGGCCAAAGAATACCACCAAAGACTTCCTCTGACGCAAAGGCCCCTTTCTAATGGAAAGCAGGTAGAGAGAAGAACAGAATACGGTTCACAAAATGCATGTGAGAAGGCACACAAAACATGCTGTTCATTTCCATAACAAATGAGGCTATTGATTTTTTAAATGAATGCAGTGCTCTCTGTGGAGCACCTGAGTGAGGAAAGCATGGGTCCTTGCAATGTTTCCAACCACCACGTCACCTCCCCTTCGTCTCTCGCTCTGCTTGTCCAGAAGGTACTGACTCTGCCCCAGCCCACCCCCCCTGGGGATGACTTCACACCCCCCCTGAAAACCTGAGTGGGAGAAGCCCTTTAAACACATCGCAGGCGGCGTCCGTGACTCAGGAAGGCATGTTCCTCGGAGATGGCGCTATTGATTTTCGGGAGGAGAAGCAAGGAAATAGATCGGCTAAAAGCACCTGCTTGCAAATGAACACACGTTCGGAGTGCAACTGAGATGAAGATGCATCACCATCCCGAGGCTCCACCGTCCTCCCAGGTCCTGTCACCCGATAACACCAAGTGCCCCTTACACTGCGATGCCCCTGCCTCCCCTCCCAACGGATCCCATCAGCGGTCCCTACGCGGATCCTGGAGCTCGCTCTCATTTCCCAGTGGACACCCGTTGCCTCTCAAACAACTTGGCACCCTAGGGATCTCCTTCCATTCCTTCCCAGGTCTTAAGGATGATGGATGAGACATCCCTTTTGGGGTTCAGGGAATGGATGGTTCTTTACACCCGCCTGAGGCAGAAACTGGTCCCCAACTTAGAGCTTTCCATCTGAGCTTTCAGGGACTTCCTCAAACCCTCGGGGGGGGGGGGGGGGAAGGCAGAGACCTTCCTGTGGGAGGAACATCCCTTGGCAGGCTCCCCTCCTGGGAAGCTTGGGGTAGGGTGAGGGTGGGGGTGGGGATGGGGATGGGGGTGGGGATGGGGGGGGGGCTCAGGTCAGTGCAGGTAGATGTGTGAGTCTCTTAAGTCCTGGGGATCTAACATAACTGGTGGAGTGACCCCAGTACAAGGGAACCTCCACGTTCCATGAACAGACTCCACTAGAGGACATCGCCTCTCCTCAGCTGCGCTCTTGGGATAACGGATTCATGTCAGCATTGGCTTTCGGAGAGAGATGCTCAGGAATTCCATTTGACACTGTGGATCCCGCAAACGCCTCTTGAGAGGGACTTTCTCCCTCTAGAATGAAGGATCTTAGGGGCTGGGCGGGGAGGGAGCCCGCACCCTGCTGGGGTGGAGAGGATGGAGGTGGAGGTCCCTGAGCTCTCCTGCTCCTACCCTCCATTGGGGGGGGGGGGGTAGGAGGAAGGGGGGCGTGTTCCTTCTTCCTTTCTCCCTGCCAGGCGTCCCTCTCTGCAGACTGAGCTCAGGTGCAGCGGGGTCGCCCTGGCCCCTCTGGAGGCCGCTCTGCAGGAGCTGCAGGGGCGCGGGCCCAGGGCGAGTGGCCAGCGGCGGCGACAACTTTCCAGATTCTTTTGGCCACTTGGTGGCCCCATTAAGCAGTCCCCCCCAAACCCGCACAAACGCCCCTGAAAGCCACCACCGGGCTCCTCGGACCACACTTGCTTCACTTCTGCACCCCCTCCCCACACACACCGTCCCCCCCAAGTCACAGCGCAATGAGCCCCAAGGCGCGGGTGCCTGCGGGGGATGCGGATGCACAGGGCCAGGGGGTCCCCGAAAAGGGGGCTCCCCAATTCCCTCCCCGCAGCCAGGAAAGCGCAGGGGGGAGAAGCCAGGGTTGGAAGGGGGGCGCGGACGCCCTGGGGGATGGGTGGGAGATTGGGTGGGGGTGTCCGCCCCCCGGGGTGGGTGCGTGCCCGGGGAGCGGGGCACCCCGCCTTACGTGCTCCAGCTTGTCCTTCCTGCGCAGCCAGACGCCGGCGCTGTAGTCCTGCTGCCGGACGCCGCTGTACAAGTTGGCAGCCCCCCGGGCCAGGCCGGGCGCGGGCTCCCGGGGGCGGCTCTTGAGCCGCAGCTGCTCGAAGCCCTCGTGGGGGGCGGCCGCGAGCCACTCGTGCTGCCGGAGCTCCATGCCGGCATGGCGGGGCGGGCGCGGGCCGGGGCGGGAGCGGGGCGCGGGGGGCGCACGGCGGGCGGAGGGCGGCGCCGGGCGGAGGGGCGCGGGCGGGCGAGGCCGGGGAGGAGGAGGGAGGGGGAGGAGGGGAGGGGGCAGGAGGGAGGCAGGGAGGGACGGGCGCCCGCTCCCGGAGGCAGAGGCGCGGGGAGAGCGGAGGGAGGGGCGGCGGGGTCCCGGGCTCCGCGGTCCGGGTCCCGGGCGTGCGCTCAGCTGCTGCCCCGCTGCCCGGAGCCCGGCCGGACAGGGCGGGGGCCGGGAGGCGGCGGGCGGTGGGAGGGGCCGCGGGGCAGCCCGGCCCGCAGGGCGGCGCACAGGAGCCGCCGCCCCTCCCCTCCGCCGCGCCCCGGCCGGCGGCTCGGGCTGCGGTCCACCCCCCGGTCCACCCCCCGGTCCACCCCCGGTCCACCCCCCGGTACCCCGCAGTCCACCCCCCGGTCCACCCCGCGGTCCACCCCCCGGCCCACCCCCCCGGTCCACCCCCCGGCCCACCCCCCGGTCCACCCCGCAGTCCACCCCGCAGTCTACCCCCCGGTCCACCCCCCGGCCCACCCCCCGGTCCACCCCCCGGCCCACCCCCCGGTCCACCCCGCAGTCCACCCCCCGGTCCACCCCCCGGTCCACCCGCTCCCCCTCCGCCGCCCGCTTGGCCACCCGGAGGCGCGCAGCAGCGCGGGATGGGGGTGCGCGGGGCCAGGCGGTCCCCAGAGCGGAGGCTCCCCTTTCCCTCCCCGCAGCCCGGTCCTCACGGCCCGAAAGTGCAGGCGGAGAAGCCGGGTTGGAAGGGGGCGCGGACGCCCTGCCTCCCAGCGCGCCCGGGCCGGGCCGCCCTGGGGGTGGGTGGGGGTGTCTGCCCCCGGGAGGTGGGCGCCGGCTCCCCGCTCCCCGCTCCCCGCTCCCCGCTCCCCGCTCCCCGCTCCCCACTCCCCGATTCCCGCTCAGGCAGCCAGTGCGGGGCTGGATCCGGAGACCAGGGGAACCCCCCCCACACACACACTCCGTCCTACCCCCCCACCCCCTCCCCCAGCCCGCAGCGACCCCGCACCCCGGCCGACTCCTCGGGAAAGTTTGAGATGCTGACTCCAAAGATAGTAGATTAAAAAAAACAAACAAATAACTTAATGTTAACTAATGAATAAAAAAAATAACGTATTCCCTTTCCTTTTATAAAAATCCTCACCTGAGGACACGGGGAGGTGCGGGGGTGGGGGGGGGGGATACTCATAGGCGCCGCAGGGGATCGAACCCACAACCTGGGCACATGCCCCTGAGCAGGAATCGAAAACATGCAACACTTCCGTGCACAGGGGAGGCTCAACCCACTGAGCCACCCCAGCCGGGCCAGGCCACCTCCTTTCTAAAGTCATTGCGCCTCAGGGGGCCTGAGAGCACAGGGTGCCTAGCACCCGCCCAACCCCTCCCCTCCCATGATGGCCACCAGGATGCAGGTCTGGAGCCCTGCATTCTATTTTCCTGCACGACCTGGCCTAGCAGGGCCTGGCTCCCTGCTTGCCGGGCCCTTGACCAGAATCAAACCTGGGACCCTTCAGTCTGCAGGCAGAAGCTCTATCCACTGAGCCACACCGGCTTCGGCTGTTCTGGAGATTTTAAAGAAAGCCAGCCACGGTGGAGGGCAAGGATGGTGCCTCAGGCCTTTATAGAGTGTCCGTAGTAGATGGTATTGTCATAATTGTAGCTGAAATGAAATCCTATGAATAGTCCATTTGGGGATGAAGCAGCTAAATGCAAATCACACACGATTTTGGGTTATTCTAGATTGGTTTTCTGGGGAGCTGAATGCCGGTGGGTAATCTCTTGAGTTTCGGTACAGTTATTCTGCAAATAAAGGTTATTTACCATTTTCCAGGTGAGGAAACCGAAGCTCAAGCAGAAATCACACTCCAAAGCCAGGATTTGAACCAGGATTAAAAAGGCTGTGAACACTATACATTCCACTGTCTTGTCTCCTATTTCTTTGCTATTACAATTTAGCTTTCACAGAGTTTGCTTTTTTGTTTTTATTTGTAAAATGTTTTTATTGAGTGCAGAGAAAGAGAGGGAGAGAAACATCGATGAGAGAGAAACATGGGTCGGCTGCCTCCTGAATGGCCCCCCCTGGGGAATGGAGCCCATAACCCAGGCCAGGGCCCTGACTAGGAATAGAACTGCTCACTGTTTCTGGTATCAAGACTCTGTTCAACCAACTGAACTACACCGGTCAGGGCAGAGTTTTGCTCTTTAAAAGTATAAAGACACAATATAAATGACCACAATTGCACATTTCTTTTACAATGCTGGTTTAGAAAGCCTTGTCTGCCTTTCTGAAAAGGATACCTCTGAATTCGGCTTTGTCAGATTATACTGTAGGTCCCGCGATATATCCAAAGCTTGACAAGTGACAGATAGCCAATTCAGAGCAATAACGAAGTGTCCCACTGTAGGAAAACTTAAACAGATGGTGTCTGTATCTAGTCAGCTTTCATGATGAACAGATTATTATTATTTTTTTTTGAAAACTATGTCTTTCTAGGGAAGTCACTCTAGTAATTGCAACATCTCCATTTAAAAAAAATATATATATATATATATATATATATATATATATATATAATATATATTGTTATTGATTTCAGAAAGGGAGAGAGAGATATAAACACCAATGATGAGAGAGAATCATTGACCAGCTGCCTCCTGCACACCCCACACTGGGGATGGAGCCCACAACCTGGGCATGTGCCCTGACCAGGAAGTGAACCATGACCTCCTGGTCCATAGGTTGATGCTCAACCACTGAGGCACGCTGGTTGGGCCATCTCCAACTTTTCAAAACAGGAAACTAGAAGAAGTTCACGGGGTTAAATGGCCTGTCTAGTCATTACAGAATTCAGTGGACAAACTAGGTTCACTGTTTCTAAATTAATAATATTTTACCACATCAGATTAAAAAAAAAAAATCACACATGAATACTTCTTAGTACTTATTTGCTTTATTGTCATGTGTATTTTTACTGAATATGATCAGTTATTTTCTTTTTTAAATTAAAGGTTTATTACCGCCCTAGCCGGTTTGGCTCAGTGGCTAGAGCATCAGCCTGAAGACTGAAGGGTCCCAAGTCCCATCCCAGGTTCTATTCCAGTCAAGGGCACATGCTCGTGGTTTCAGGCTTGATCCCCAGTAGGGGGTGTGCAGAAGGCAGTGGATCAATGATTCTCTTGCATCATTGATGTTTCTCTCTCTCTCCCTCTCTGAAATCAATTTTAAAATATATTAAAGGTTTGTTACTGATGAAGAAAACATTTCAACTACACTCACGTTGCATAAGATTCCATTAAAATACTGACACCAGAAGTCATCTTTTGTTGTCAAGAAGTGTGTCTGGCAGCTTTGACAGCATTACTTCCTTTTCAAGACTATTTTTTTTTTTTAAAGAGCCGTTTCAGGCTCACAGCAAAATTCAGAGGAAAGAACAGAGACTTCTTTTTAGCTCTGCATAATGTCTTGTCTGGATGTACCAGTTATTTATTCACTCACTTAACTGAGGGGCATCTTGGTTGCTTCCAAGTTTGGGTAACGATAAATAAAGATGCTATAAACATCCCACGTGGGCTTTTATGCGGGCACTAGAGGCCCAGTGCACGAAATTCGTGCAAGGTGCTTGGCTCTCACAGGCCGGGCTGTGTCTGGAAGATCCACCAGAAGGTCGTCCGGCTGTTCGGTCTAATTAGCAGACTAGGATAAGCTTTCAGCTTCTTTGGGAAAATACCAAGCATTGTTGTTTTTTCCTTTTTAAGAAAAAAATATATTTTTATTGATTTCAGAGAGGGAGAGAGAGATAGAAACATCAATGATGAAAGAGAATCACTGATTGGCTGCCTCCTACTGGGGATTGAACTTGCAACCCAGGCATGTGCCCTGACCTGGAACTGAACAGTGACCTCCTGGTGCATAGGTCAATGCTCAACCACTGAGCCATATCAGCCGGGAGGCTACTTTAAAAAAAATGCATGTTAATCATGAGATTATTTCTGGAGAATACTTGAATAAAATAATACCATTAGAACAGAACTAAAGTGGTCCTAGCTTGAACACATTTCCCGAAAGCATTAATATAGTACATTAATCTCTCTGAGAAGGGTCTTTTAGTCTGCATATAGATTCTCTTCAGCCATGTGGCTATTATTGATTAGCTATAAAATGACAATGTGGGTTTTTAACTGTTATGCTAAATTATTAACAAAGTAAATTTATATACAAACTTATTTTAGACGGACGACTCCTTTTTTGAGAGCACACTGCATTCTGTTTCCTGCGCTGGTCCATTATCAAAGGCATTATTATGTCACTAGAGGCCCCTTGCAGGAAGATTCCTGCAACAGGGCTTCCTGCTGTGGTCTCCGCTGCCCTGCTAGCTTCTCTCCCTTCTCACCCACCCCGCCTGCTTCCATGCCTTCTCCGCTGCCCTGCTTGCTTGCTTGCTTGCTTCTCCACAGCTTGGATTCTTTCTACACTATCTTTAGTCTTTGCTCTGGCCTGGATATGCAAATCAACCGCCATCTTGGTTGAGTTAATTTGCATACTTGCCCTGATTGGCCGGTGGGCGTGGCTAGTAGGTATAGCGAAGGTACGGTCAATTTGCATGTTTGTCTTTTATTAGAGAGGATTTGTTTCTCACCCCACCCCTGCCAAGTTCACGTAACCACCGCCATGTTACAGATGAGGAAACGAAGACCTAGGAAGACACTTGCCACAGAGACACACTACCAAGAGACAACGTTATGGCTGCAGCTCAGGGTGGCTCCACTCTGAATGTACAACCCGCCTGGCCTTGCATGTCCGCTGAGCTGAGAGCCCCCACAGGGACCTGGGGAGAAGCTGCAGGGTTGTGGGGGCAAGTCTACCAGCCTCCAGCAGGAAGCCCAGCAGAGTGAGATTATACAGCTCACAGAGGCTCCCAATTTATCCGGGCAAAGAACCAAATGGACGGCACTGGGATCTTTCTGAGCCTTAGAGACCTTGCTTCTAGTGCCAGCTCAGCTGA